CTTTTCGTTCTCGTTCGCTATCCCTCATCCCTTCCTCCGCCCTTTCGTTCGCTCTTTTCTTTTTCCATCTCTCCATCTTTTATTGACGTCCTGCTCCAACATGTGCGTCCTTTGTGCAACTTGACTTGGATCTCAGCACTGGCTTAACCTCTTCAACGCTCTACAGACGTGTAATCATTAATATTGTGAGGAATCGTGGTGAAATCAGGTGTTCGTCTTTTTTTTTTTTGTCAAGTGTTTTACGGCGCTCACAATTGCATAAGGTCATACGAGCTTGCGGGAAACATTAAAAATTTTCAGTCGGGAAGAAATTTTGAATTTTGACCACGTGGCAGCCCAAGCCTGATCTTATGGATTCTGGACCACCAAGGGATCTTTCACGTGCGCAACGTGCTCGCGGGACCTCCGACATTTTTCGTCCTTGTTGAAGAAGGCTAGGTGTAGATCTTTCCCACCAGAAGATCAGGGGTGTGGCTGAAAGACAGCAGTAAGAAGGAGGCAATTTTAAGGAGTAGCAGTAGAAAGGCTGCAGAAAGAGTCAAGAGCCCAGAGGAGAGGCAAAGGAGGTGAGGGAGTGGGGGCTGAAAGTTGAGACGAAAGCAGACGAAAGAACATTGTTAGACAGCAGCAAAGGGTATGAAGAAAGAAGTTTTCATCGTTATCCCGATTTGAACCCAGGACCTACTGAATGGGAGGTGAACACCTTAAACTCTAGTCCACGAGAGCCCCCAAGCGCTGGTCAAAATACATATAATGTAACAAAAGAAACCAACACTTTTTTTCTTCCTTTGGTCAATTTTCATTGATTCGGGTTTTTTTAAAGCTGTGCTCAACATCTTTTATGTCAATTTAAAATCACATTTCTGTGTGAATATTACTGAAAATCGTTAATGAAAGGCAGAAAACGTTAATAATTTGTAGTTTCAAAGGACACTTGAGCTTTGAAAAATCAAGAGAGAGAGAGAGAGAGAGAGAGAGAGAGAGAGAGAGAGAGAGAGAGAGAGAGAGAGAGAGAGAGAGAGAGAGAGAGAGAGTATCTATATCCTTTTTGAGTGCATTTTTCAACGTTTTGAATTTGAATTTCAACAAATAGTTTCTTGGGCACGTGCAACGGATACTAAAGACTAAGATATTGCAGTTTGAAAAAAATAAATATGCTTAGCACATTTGAACAGCCACCCGAGGAAATGTGTTATTCGCTCTTTGCAGCCGAGCCGAGAGGGAACTGAAATGATGGCAACAAAAGAGGGGGTTGGGGGGGAGGGGGGGGGCTTTTCATGATACAGTTCAGGACACTCATGTGGGAGAAGTGTTATCGTCACGAAACCACAGATCTGTGAGCTCAAAACAGCTGATTTTCAGGAGAGGAACAAGATATAAGTAGCACAATTTGTGATCGGTGGATGCTGTTCACTGCTTTGCCCCTTCTTTCGATCAAACATCTATCGTCTTCTTCTCTCCCCCTTCTTTTCTTTGTATGTTACTATCTAGCAACACTTTTCATCTTCAGCATTAATAAAACCTATTTATATTGCAGTTTAAGTAAAACTCCCAAGTAAACTCAAAATTAGCAGCAGTGACAACGACAGAAGAGAATAGCAGCATCTGGACATCTTCAGGTGACAGTAGCAATTGTACTAGAAATCTAGCTATAACATATTTTTGGTAATTCTAGATTCAAACAGTAATTATAAATGTTTACAACCCACTGTAAAGACGATATAAAACACTTATGAGGTGGGTCAAATCGTACTCGGGAATCGAACGCACGTTTTCCGCGAGTGTCGGCAAAAGATAATAATAATATTAAAACTGATATTAATAATACTACTAAGCATACTACTACTACTACTACTACTACTACTACTACTACTACTACTACTATTAATAATAATAAATAGCATTTGTACATTGCATTACCCCGCTCTACAGCAAGCTCTATGTGCTTTACACTATAGTATTACCCCAGCTGACTATCAGAAGAGAGAGGAGACATAATTCGACCACCCTAACCCCGACATTCCAAGTCTCCACTGAACAAAACATTGTAAATCCAGGATCGGATTGCACAGCCACGTGCGCATACACAGATGACCTGCAGGATTTCATCGTCATCTTCGGCAACAAAGGTCTACTTACTATTACCACAGCAGAGACCAAACAACATTCAGAAACATTCTCAGCTTCCCGTGAAGCACACAGTGCAAGTAGTTGATTAAGCCCTCAAACACTACCAAACTGACTGGATCTTTCACTTAATATAGCTGGGTGGTACCCATTCTCACCTGGGTTAAGTGAGGAAAAATCGTGTAAAGTGCCTTTCCCAAGGACACAACGTCGGGTCCCTGGCGGGATTTGAACCTGCGACCTTATGGTTGCGAGTCTGAGAGCCTAACCACTAGGCAACAGACGCCACACAAGTCCCTACACCACAGACACCGGTCTGAGTATGTTATCGTCGCCTGTGGCAATGTTAAAATAGAGAGCAGTACCAGGACATAGAAATAATAGCAAAAAATAATGAAAGATAAATTATTATTTGCCAATTACAAGTTAAGGTATAATATTGTCACTGTACTACGACTTAACCTTTATCGTTTTGAAGGAGTAGATGTGGGTGGTTGGCGGGCGGCTCTGGTGTGATTTGCTCCTTCTTTCCTATCAAACATCTATCGCCCTGATCTCTCCTTCTTTTTATATTTGTTGCTCTCTTTTTTTAGAAAGTGTTTTACAGCGTTCACAACAGCATACGGTCATATGAGCGCGCCGGACACGTTAAACTTTTTCTGATGGTGAGGAGATTGCCCGGGTGGCGGTCGAAGCATATTGTTATCGATTTTAGACCACCAAGGGGTCTTTAACGTGTGCAACCTGCACACGAGCCCTACCAAAATTTTCGCCCTTGTCCCAAAAGGCAAGGTATAGATATTTCCTACCAGAAGATCAGGTGTGTGGCTGAAAGACAGCAGTAAGAAGTAGCCAAGGAGTAGCAGTAGAAAGGTTGCAGAAAGAGTCAAGAGCCCAGAGGAGGGGGCAAAAGAGGTGAAGGGGCGGAGGCATAAAGTGGAGACAAAAGCAAACGACATAACATTGCTAGAGAGCAGGAACGGAGGTGAAAGGAGACAATTTTATAGAAAAAATCTCTTTCGGTCGCTTCCCGGATTCGAACTCGGGACCTTTGAATGAGAGGCGAACACCTTAACCTCTAGGCCACGGAAACCCCGTTTGTTACTCTCTTGTAACACCTCAAATCATCGGCACTCATATGATCTTATTGTGTTGCAAGTACTGTAAAACTCTTACTAAAAATATAACGAAGGAATAGATAAAACAATACACGCTATCTGCAAACTTCATCTTTAATATTTTAAGTTAGAGTTTTACGGGACCTGCAACACAATAAGGTCATATACGAGCAGAAGATAAGGGGTGCTGCAGGAGAGTAACAAACAAACAACAAAAAAGGAAGGGAGATGAGGACGATTGAAGTTTGAAAAGAAAGAAGGAGCAAACCGCATCATGGTACTAGAGCACCCGCCAACCACCCATTAACTAATCTCTATCCCCGTGTCAGGCTCAGCCCATGATTATCTCTTTTTTTTTACTTGAACGTCTTGCTCTCATCGGAAAAAAAAAGATAGAGAATCAAAAGTGGACCAAGAAGAGCTTCATTGGACAACTTGAAAATAATGGGTGGCGAGGAAAGAATGGGATAAACACGTTGTTTGAGAGCACTTGAGCAGAGAAATGAGTGATGGACTATAATCGCCGATGTCTGCTTCAGATCTGGTATTTGAAGAAGACGACCTTGAAATTTGTCACGTTTGAACAGAGTTATGATCTGGTGATAGGCCATCTTAAAAATCGGAGCGTCAGCTTGATTTTTATTTTTTAGTTTGATTTAGGCCTGTATTGAAGCAACTGAACGACATTCTTTAAAATTTAATGGCCCTCGTCCCGGGAAAAAAATATCCTATAACGTGTATGTCTTATTATAATTAATGCCTTTGCTGCATTTGTTATGTAATGTCACCGGTATTTGTGGTGTAGCATTTAGACTCGTCGCCTTCGGAAACAGGAGAGGTGAGTTTGAATCCCGTGTGAG